CTTCATACATTATAATCTGTTCTTGATGATTTTAGTGGAATTAGGACATCTGGACCCAATTTTGTAAAAATCATTTGTGTTGTTTCTTTATTTCTTGTACTTTTACTTAGTTTTTGTGCTCTTTGTGAACTTTGGGACCAACATATAGAGAGAGAGAGAGAGAGGAGCTAGGATTTAGTATGAAACCCTAAGTAGACATTGGAAGTATTTATATCAAATAGAGCCATCACTTCATCCAATGGCATCCAACACATCAAGTGTCATCGATCCAGAATAACTGCCCATTGAATACTAAAGGCGTGTTTCCAAAACTCGATTTAACTTAGACTCTGGAGCCTTCAGTTCAATGGATCAAACAAGTGGGTCAGATCATCACACAAGTTCACAGAGTTGGGCCATTATGAATTTGGGCTTAAATTTCAGCAACCCAAATTTCTTCACAGTTGGGACCACCAACGAGAAATTTCATTTACTCATGTATTTTGTGTTTTTGAATGAAAAGAGAGGAATAGTGTTTTGGGGGTTTCTTGCCCATTTGAGTATAATTTTAATGGGAGTTGTGAATCCGTTCATGTCACTGAGTACAACCTAATAAGGTCAAGGGTATTTTGAGCATTTACAGAAAATATTTGACATTTTTAAAATAATTGTGAATATTAGATATTTTTCAACTAAAATTAGTAAATAGAATTTCAGCCACAACTTCCTCGTAAAACATCTCCATCAAATTGTTGTCACACCTTTAAATTCATGGATCCCATTTATGTGTTTCTTAAAAAGCAGAAGACATTTAGGCCAATACAATTTTGTCATATGGAAGTTGATACTACATTTCTCGCACGATAGTTGCCAATATTATATTAATTTCAAAATACTTTTTTTTCTCTTCTTTTTAACCACATATTATTCAATAAAATAATGTTACACTTAAAATCCAAAATTTAGCCACACATTCACCATCAAATCACTATTCCAAAATGCAATTTGGAAAAAGATTGGGGCTCAAACAGATCCTAAGCTTCAGAAATGCAATGGAAAATTGATTAATGAAATAAAAATTGTAAGACATTTTCATAGGTCTAGCAAATAAAATGGAGATTAGGAAAGCTTCGGAAATGCAATGGAAAATTGAAAACGTCGAAGTACTATTTCTACCGTACATTCTCCACATACAATAATTATTTAATGGAGACAAGAAGCTAGACACTTGGACCCACGAATTGTGGCATTATTCATAATTTGCGCATTCTTTAAGTACTGGGATGGTGCACCAAGAAAGCATCGTCAATATCAGTATGCTTAATGCATAAGTGAAACACCAAATTTGCACATGGATAATTGTCAATGGATTTAATGTATCTTAATGCGTGAGAGAAAATATTAATAAATGTGCTAAAAATGTTTTAACCGTACTCGAGACTTCTTCACGAGTCTGTGTAAATATGTACCAAAGTACTCTGGTTGCTATCTATGATTCAATAGACCTTAAATTCTACACATCAATGGAGGAACGGGTTGTTTCTCCTTTTGTGATGGATATTTGTCTATGAGGGACCTAATCTTTTGTGTTAGCAA